CTGGCTGGGGAATTCTGGGAGTTGAAGTCCACACGTCTTCAAGTCGCCAAGGTTGAGAAACCCTGCTCTAAAGCGTTACAATAAACACCGAAAGGCCTTGCTTATTTAGAAGAAAAAAGATCACAGGGGAAGAGGGGGAAGGTTAACCCCCAGCTGCAAAGTAGAAACTCTACCTTCCAGGCGGCCTGATTTATGACCAACTCAGAGTGACAGAAGTTTGATCTTCTGGACAGATGAACCCTTCCTATCTGCTGCCAGGACATCTGGTGGCCATTTGGGGAGTTGTGGACCCCAAGACCTCTGAAGGGCACCTGATTGCAGAGGACTGACCTAGTTATTGTTAAGAAGGTGTGTATTCAGCTTTCTATGTCATAATTTTGCTCCTGCGTGGAGTCGTAGCTACTGAAAATGCACACAAGTGTTGGAAAGAAGGTTGTGTGTGTGTGTGTGTGTGTGTGTGTGTGTTGGGAGGGTTATTGCCACAGATGGGCAGTGGGCTGAGTGGCTACATTCACATACTACATTTAATCGGGTTGCTGAATTTACCTGTTTTCTGGGAGCGTACAATACACTGCACCATAGATTAACTGAAGGAGTTGGGTTGGGGATACACACTAAGCTACACATTCCCCCCCCCCAAAAAAACTAAGCTCAAATTTAGCATGTTGTGGAAATGCTTCTATTAGGACTTTATCAGACTTGGTTAGACATGTATGAATCAAAATCTGCGAATTACGGTGGTTTAAGATGCTTCAAATCTACCAGAGAGAAAAGGCATTTGTACTGAATTTGGCTGGTGAACACAGCGATTCCATTTCAGGATTTATTAGGTGCTTAATTACGAGGGCTTCTATTACTCCCCCAGCACGGCTAATTATAAGAACCTAACCTGTAGATCACAAGTAGAAGGTTACATGGCAGCCCGGTGGGCCGGATGGCAATATAAAAATCATGCGCAGAGGCTACATTTTGCTAACGCAGCTTCTGTCTCGCAACTCATGCGAGCTCAAAACCGCAACCATTTAACGGGGATTTTCTTTCAACACATCTGGAGAGGGAGATGGCATCTATTTTCCTCCACTCTTTCAGCACTGTGTGGTACATCGGGGTAACAATATTCACACTCACAAGGAGAAGCATAAAAGACAGTATAACCACCACTCACTTCAGGCACGGCTTGTTCTAAACTGTATGGAACCGAACTATATACTCTTCTGCCTCCCTTTACTAGCTCAAGGACACCCATTCAAACGAAAATTGTTCTGCAATGAATGTGTCTCTTCTGTAGGGCCTTAAAAAATTTTTTTCCCACTAGGAAGAAAAGCATCTGTAGAATGAAATGACTATTTTAACCCCACTCCTTGATTCTACAAGATGATTCCACCCTCGTTCTTGCTGCTAGAATAATACAACAGAACAGAACTAGGCACTCAACGATCACCCACCTCCTCAAGGGAGAAAGATAATGGGTGTTCTCTGCCTTCTGGAAGGCTGACCATGGCTATTCCCCGCTTTGGCACAGGTTTTGGAAGGCATGCAAGATTGTGTACTGCAGTGGGACGAGATCAAATACCAATGTGCTTATATGACTCACCAACATCCATATTGAGAGTGATCTACAGTACCTATCGTGGACAGAAATTTCTCCAGGGAAGCCTCCATTTTTACAACAGATAGCAGCCCGGGTTGCCTGGCTGAAGATGTGTTTCTTTCATGTGTTTAATTAGTCCCCCATTAGAGGGATATGGGCAGGGATAAATTTAATAATAAATAAATAAAAAATAAATACATTTGGCAAGTGGCAAAACTCAAGTTTAACCTTGGAGGCACCAGGTTGGGGAGGTGGGGGGAGGCTGCTCTGACAGAGTGGCTTTTAATCTCTTAGCAATTGTAACCACCCATTTCCAGAGTCAGTCCGAAGATGGTTTTTAAAATCAGGAGCCTGCAAAAATACTCCAGAGAAATGCACACTGGGCTCAAATGGGATAAAACTGCCCAAAGGTTATGGGCTCATGAGGCTGAGAAGCCACAGGGAAAAATGAGAAGGGGCAGAGAAATTTGTAGGGGCCCAGGGCCCCACGGTCACAATGGGAGGGAAAAAATCAGTTCAGCATAACTGAAAATAAGAAAACCACCTTGTTTTATGCATGGGAAAAAATGACATACAAACTGTGCACTGCTGTTGTGAGTGAAGCAGGGTGCTTTGATCTCTCTAGGCAGCACTGCAGCTATTTAATCCCACAGATGTACAAAGAGGGGAGCTTAGCTGTCCTAGGCAATCTGATGCATGTTTTCTCTCCAGTTAACCTTCACGAGAGCTTATTCCCAGGTAAGCTTGCAGAGGACAGGAAAGCCGCCTTCCTCAAATCAGTTTCTAGTTTTGGAGGGTCATTCCAGCAAGGAATGGCTTCTGGCGTTTTGAAATGCAACAGTGAATTACTGGAACTGAACACTCCTTTAAGCAGGATGCTGATGAACACAAGGGTTCTTCTTCAGGACTGTGCATGGCCTTTTCATGGGCTTGGTTCCCCCAAGAGAATGTTCAGGTGCATTACTCCACTTCACCTGTCTGCAACAGCCATAACAAGATCTGGGCACTGCCAACCTTGTGCAATGTCCACGGAGCTGTGGGGCACATTCCCATGAGGTCCTTCAGGAACTTCTTCTCAGCTTACCTCAAAGTATTCAAGGGTGAAAACTGAGATGGAGCCCCAGTTCCTGTGATGAATATTGTAAAATGCAGGACACCCCCATGTGCAAACACCCTAGGTCTGTTGGCAGTAAGACAGCATTCCTTCATGGTTTGCTTCGGGAAGAACAAGCAGATCTGGGGTTTACCACCAAAACTTGGCTGGGTGAGGAATGGGATCTTCCCCACTCTGAGATCTATTTTTATTTCAGGAGCCATCAGAGATGGCTTTAATATTTACATGAATATGTAAATGAATGTATGTAATGATATGTAAATGATAATGAAATGTTGACTACAGTATCTGTTTATACTTTGGCACCAAACATTTGCGACTAGGGGGGTTTTAAAGCAGTTTGCTGCTTTACTTATTATTATGGTTTCATTTCAAATGTAAGCATACATTTGTGTGGGTTCTTTCCTACCCAAAATCTTTTTCTCTGCGAGGCTATATTCCCAGCAGTCTTGATAAAACATTTCCTTCCCAAATTGTGGTTTCCGCAAAACCAGCTGCAAATGGGACCCGATACATCTGATGTAAGGAATAGGATGCCTGTGTCAAAATTCCTCACCAGAATGGCATATTCATTAGTCGACAGCAGACTTATAGTTGCTGATCAGAGCATCGAGAACATGCTCTCTCATCTAATCACAGCATACGTTTCCTGCAATTTCACATGTTTTTTTAGCAAGCTGGTTTCCAAAAGCATCCACTCTGAGAAGCTGAACATGGTTTACTCATAGGACACGTTAAGGGATTCTAGAGAGAGGCTGAGACACCGTTTACTAGCTCCTGTAAAAGGGAGGTCTGCTTTTAGCAAAGGAAACTAGAGTCAGCACAAACGGATAATCCGAGCTGGCAATCAAATGCACTTCCTAATAGGTCCTAGGAGGCATTTAGTGATTATGCGTCTTCTGCACCCAAAATGTCTTTCTCGTGCGGCAACACAAAACCTAAAGGTAAGAGACAGAATGCAAACTGCTAATGATTTGAATCTTGAAATCTGGCTACTGAAAAAGCTTCGTAAGGGGAAAGGGAATTCCCTAGATATCTAGCCTTATTAAGCATGTGCAGTAGATCTGAACTTCTAATCAGGTAATACATAGGTTCTCATTCCAAAGACAAAGAGCACATGGCACTAGAAATTATGTGGGCCGTCAAGCTGAAAAAATGAGAGATCCTGTAAATTAAATGTGACCAGGTGAAGAAAATCTTGCACCATCTACAGGTTTGGGCTCTCTGCTAGGTGGGAGAAGGCCCTGTCCTGTGGGGCTGCCAGGCCCTGCAATGCTTTCCAAATATTTAGGGAAATGGCCAAGGTTTTAACAGTTAATTGATTTTAACAGAACTTTCATTTTGATTTTAGTTGTACTGATTTGACTCTCATGTTTTATATTTTGTTTTATGGATGTAAGCTGCCCCTTTGCTTATATAAGCAGAACAGCAGGGCATACATTTAATAATAGAGAATAAATATATTTGTGGAGTCCTTGGGGCTCTCTGAGCTTGGTTGTTTGCTTGCAGATGTTTCATTACTCAACTTAGGAACATCATCAGGGCGAGAGAGGGTGGGGTTTGCTCTCTGTTTATGTACAGTAGCTTGCCCTGCCAGTGTTGGTGGGGGTGTGGTTTTCTCCTTGCTAGTTCCTTGATTAGGGCATTGTTTTCTGCTTCAGTGTTAATCCCTGCTTATCTTGGCGTTGGCTGCTGGAGAGGATGTGTCATCTACAACATACAGTGTAAGGACTATAACAGGACTATGTAGGATAGACGGGCAGAAGACTAGCAGAGCACATCCATGAACGCCAGCTAACAGTCAGAAGACACAATGAAAACTTGTTAATCTCACAACTCATGGACAGCCTCAACCACAGTCTTTACTGGGAAACTGTGAGCATCCTAGACTAAGCTAAATCCAAAAACACTAGGAAATTCCTGGAAGCCTGGCATTCAGACAAATCAGCCATCAATAGACACATAGAGATAAACCACATTGACACACCATTCAAGAGACAATAAAAAAAGCTAAGAAGGAAACAAAAAGACCAGAACACATCCACTCCAGCAATCAACACCCAGATAAGCAGGGATGAACACCAGACAAACAATCAAGCAGAAAACAATAGCCTAATCTAGGAACTACCAAGGAGAAAACCACCCCCCCCCCAACACCGGCAGGGCTAGCTACTGCATATAAACAGGGAGCAAATCTCATACTCACTCGCACTGAAGGTGTTACCTAGTTGGGTAATGAAACATCTACAGTCAAACCACCAAGCTCAGAGAGCACCAAGGACTCCACAGTTCAACCCTGAGCTACAGATATTCTCTTCTATTGAAATAAATATATTGGTTTTGTTGTCAGTTTTGTCAAACAATGGCCTATTCTAATGGATTAGACGATGAGAGTGCAGTTTTAACAGTATTTTTATCACCAAGTGGAGCACCACAGCATTACCGTAGCCTGACTTGATTTCTGAAGGAAGAGGGTCTAGAAACACACCCAGCTGCAGAGTGAACAGGTGGAAGATCTCATAATCAGATTTCAGCGTAAATAAAGCAGCAAGGCAGTCAGAAATTCAAAACAGAAAATAAGACAGGCGCAAGTACCATCCATTAAAAAAAAAATACCCTCACCACAGAAAGAACTTCCAAGTTATCACAAATGAAGCCATAATTAACTTTTTTTTTTTTTTTGGTGCCTTTGAGTCAGTGTTGACTTCTGGCAACTGCCTGCATATGTCCCCACAGTTTTCTTGGCAACATTTTTGGAAGTGGTTTGCCATTGCCTCCTTCCTAGGGCTGAGAGAGAGGGACTGGCCCAAGGTCACCCAGCTGGCTTTGTGCCCAAGGGGTGGGCTAGAACTCATGGTCTCTGTATCTAGCCTGGTGCCTTAACCACTACCCCAGATTGGCTCTCTTCATAATGAACTACCAAGGGAACATATATACTGTATATATATATATATGCAATATGTA